TGTACTGTAATCATTGAGCATCGTTAGACTTTATAAAAAGATCTTTACTCCTTTTGAATTTTAAAACTGCTTTATATTTATGGCAAAAGTTTGCTGAGATTTTTTTTACGATTGTAACATGTGACAGCCTGGGTTATGTGTTTATTAGCATAATTATCAGTCAGCCAAGCTTTTTTGAAACCATTATGAATCAACATTAACATCATCTGACCTCGTACATGAACTGTTCTTAACCAATAGAGCTATACCTCATATTCATCATGTCATTTTAACTTTTAAATATGTTTATGTCAAGATTTCAATTGTAGAATGATTATTATATATACTACTGAACATTGTGTACAACAAGACAAATGTCAATAAATGAGTTGTCAAGGAAAACGAACCTTAAGAACCAAGAATAGCATGAAGCTTTGTTTCACACCACTGTATATGACAGATCATTCTCATTGAAATGCATCAAATTGCAATATTGCTACATAAACACAATGAGGATGAACATTTTGATGTTCACAAAAACAAAATTTAATTATTTATAGATGTTCCAAATGTGCACAGCAATGTAATTATATCTTACAATAGCTGCACCAGGCCTAAATAACATACAATGATAAATAATCTTTTGAAAATTTCATTGTTTGATTGTAAACTGTTTTCTTCTTTAAGATAAATCCCATTTAACCACTTACCTATGTTGTCACGACAACAACAATGAATCAAGAAGAAGGTTTGAAAGCTTTGGAAACATCTATCAAAGTCATTGAAGAAGTCATTATGAACAAGAAAGGAACATTTGTTTTACAACAAGCTGTAAGTGTTTGGTTTATATTTATATGAAAACTATATTGTATCACTAAAATGACATCCCCCTGGTACCTCTACTGTCCTCATATCATCCTGTTACCATTTCCCTAAGTACCCCATGCTATATTAAGAGGGACATATTCAATCATTAGTCGTTTATTTGAAAATTACAATGACACCATCCCAATGCATTGAAATGAATAATATTAGGACCCTGTGACATTGGCAATAATTTATGTTAACTGTCCACGAAAATTAGTTTTTCCTAAAGCTAATTATGCATTGTGATATCATAATGATGTCTTTTGCATATTGAAGAAAAGTTATGTGTCTCCAAAACAAAACAAAACAAAATAACAAAGCATATGTTCACACCATTTACACAATGACTGTCTCATGTTTGCTTTGTCTGACTGGGTAACTATTATCAGAAGGACATCACTTGAGTCCCATTGGACATTTGACACACTTGTATGATGTATCAAAGATTTGATATCATGCAACAGACGTATGTTTAATGAGCTGCTGTTTTTTGCAGCGTCAGAGAAAAGAATAAAACAAGCAGAGTTTGTCATGTTCTTATTCGAGTAGTACTTTATGTTTAACTTAGGAGCTAAATATGTTTCATACAAAATGTTTTATTGTTTTTGATTGGTTATATGAAATGCTCTTTAATATGTATTAGATATAATTGAACAAATGTTTTTCTATTATGTCTGCTGACATAAAATTATAAGCGACACAATACCAAATGGACAAAAGCACAGTAATTTTTAAAACATACGATTGATTTGATGAGCAGCAAACAGCAATATCTTTTAAATAGGATGTTAAGACAAGATATTATATTTACAAAAAGGTGTTAAATTACTAATAAAGGAAACGACATACGACATTCATACGACATTCCTTTCACGAGAAAACATGAGCCCAACAATATTGACCTGCTCACCACTGTGTGACTTCATAGCTCAGTTGGTCAGAGCACTGCACCGGCATCGCAGAGGTCATGGGTTCGAATCCCGTTGAGTCACCTGATTTTTTCAGGTTCCTGAGACGATTGCTTAAATTGTCCAGCAAAGTGCGAAGATCATATCTTCATTTAATTTTTGTTTTAACATTGTCAAAAAATAGCGCGACACGCGACGCTACGCCACGCTACGCATCTATTCTGTGTTGTAAGTTTCAAGAACGCATTCTGTTTATCAACGTGTTCGCAGTGCCGTTTCTTAGCAGCGCATTTTGATTGGTTAAACCGGATGACGTAATAACCGGACAGACCGAACTCATATAATAGAGATGATTTCTGATCACAGTGCGCGGGATTTAAATTGTGACTAAAAGGTGGTAATTGCTTGACTTCGCTCGATATACTCAACAAATTAAAACAATTTTCAATTCTTATTTTTTCCTATTTTCGGTTAACTGGATTTCCCGATAGCAGGTAAGTCTGACTTTTTTATTACATTTAGAACATTATGCTTTGACAACACATTATGTTATACGTTCACGTTTTACTCGAGCTGAATTTTTTGTCCTCATTTAGCTAAAGCTGTGATATAAGTTTTGATTTATTGTTATTATACTTAGTGAATTTGTACAAAATTGCTGGGATTTGATTTCCATTGCGTAGTACTAGCTAGTTTTCGCTAATTTTAGTACGTTGGCATTCTTTACATTCACAAAAAGAGTGAATGCACGGTGGCCCAGCCGCATAATGCTAATGCACCCTGCCGTCTGCCCTAGTGGATAAAACAAGGAGCTCACTCCGTTAGAACAATGTTTGATTATATATTGCAAATACAACGAAATTTGCAACAATGCAACGAATTTAAAGCATAGTAATATTCAATTGTCTATTTAAATCCATTCTCATTCTCACTTCTGTTGGGGGCTATGTTCATACTTGCATGCAATTTTCTACGCTGCTTTATTTATTTTGCGATTCTTGGGAATGTTGCAAAAATACTTATTTGATATAACTAGGCGCTCACTCGGCCAGAAAAATGTTTGATTATATTTGCGTCTTGTAATAGTTGTTGTCAAATGCAACGAATTAAAGGCACCACTTGTCTCAGAATCCCTCTTTCCTATACTTGTTAAACGATCGTGTATGAAATACTTTGGTTGTCTGTAAGATTAAAATCAAATTTTAAACATTATCAATTAACTTTTAAACTCTTGCATGGAAAAGTTCCGTGAATAAAGACTTCTTATCTTCATTTTATACAAACACAGCCATGGATAAGAAGCCTGATGAAACTTTGAACAACACGAGACGTTCAGAAAATGAGCAAAATAACCAAAGCAATGGTGAGGAAAATATTCAAGATCGTCTTGGAGAAGTGACAGCGGAAATGGGAAATGGTACTAGAGGTTGTGCCTTACAAGAGAGAGTTGTTGAAGAATTTAATTTTTCGCCTTACATACCAGAGGAACTTTAAATGGACTTTAGATCAACCTTAATATTTAGAAATAACCACTCATCTTATATGCTTTATTTATTTGTACGTTAAACGTAAACACTTCATTATACATTCTGTTTCAAAAACAAAAACTTTCAAGGACATGAATGCTAACACCTTGACCGCCTTGTGTAATTAATTGACAAACAATTTATGTAGCTTTTTTAAAAACTTTGTACGTAAACTTTTGTACCTATATATTCATTTTTTTTATTTGCGCCATTGTTGTCTTTGAATGGAATGATCATTTTCGATGTAATCAGTTTTAACTGTCGTTTTAATAACGAACTCAATTACCAAGAAGGTATTTCTTGGTAATTGATTTTAAGACAAGCCAAATGATTATGGTAAATGTTTTTAGAGGAAAAAGACATTTTTGGGTATAACAAGACAGTAACTTTAAAAACCATAATTTTTATTAATTGTGGTTAATTTTTGATTGATTATCATATTGAATTTCATAAATAATTAGTAATGATAATTATTCATTGCGCTCGGCCAGGGGACTGGGAACATTGTGAATTGGTTTTGTATTTATGAAAACTGACTTGGTAACATTGAAAATGAACTGAAATTTTTTTTCTTTGCTTTTCTCTCATTATGGTAAAACAAACGTTATCCTCTCTGTGGCATTTCGTTATTTGTGTCTTAATTTACGACCACAATGGCAGACAATGTTTGCTGGCGTTTTGGGGAGTAGTTTAGTTATTTACATTTAACCTGGAAATGTTAACGTGAAAGAACCAGAACCGAACAAAGAAAAAGTTGAACCAATACATTCTGTGCTTGACCTTACAAGGTTTGTGTCAAATATCGATAGGTATATAATGTTTACTTTATGTATGTATTTGTTTGTCTGTTAAGTTGACTTTGTAAAATCAAAGTTTAGATTGTAATGCAATCATTTACAAATAAATTGTCTTATTTTCTCTTACTCTTGCATGAAGAATTTCGTGTCAAGAAAAAGTACCGATCCTCAACGTTTTTGTAATAAATCTGTGTATCACTTTATTCCATGTGCATACACTACGCCCCTAACACCTTGTTATCATCTGCATACCATCATCAAATCATCTACATACATGTTTGTAAATGTAGATCGTCCTGGTTGGTATAGTCCTGAGAAGGACTGTTTTTGTTGTTGTTGACTGACATTTCGACAACCTTAGCGGTAGTCATCTTCAGAGTCATCTTCTTTGACTCTGAAGATGACTACCGCTAAGGTTGTCAAACGCCAGTCAACAACAACAAAACAGTCCTTCTCAGGACTATACCAACCTGAAGATTTACATCTACAAACGTAACGATCCGGTTCAAACCATTCACTTTATCTACATACCATCACCAAATAATCTTACCATCACCTAATATCCTTATTCAAACCCCCTATCAAGCTCATACCTTCCCTAATTCATTTTTATACCATCTTTATACCATCTTCATACCATCATTGTTTATTTTACATATTACAAGTAAATTGCTCATTCAAACCTTCACAACACCACATATTTTTAACCTTGATCATTCATCAACAAGAGCTTAGCAAACTACCTTGTGTTTATTTTGTCAGTTCTTCTCATTATGCTGGCAAGCCAACAAAGGTCAGAGGGTTGAAATGTACTTGTAAATCCTATTGCCATGCCTTTGCATTCATACAAGAAATTTGTTGATTTCAAATGATAAATTTAAGCTATAAATTTTTATCATTGATAATCATTGTTATCTGTTTAGCCAAAGGTTGTCACAGATATGGATGAAGCAGACTTTGCAAAGGAACTGGAAAAACTTGAACGTCAAAATGCAGAAGTTGATGGTGATGATGATTATCCTGATGATGAAGAAAAACAAGATGAAGCATAAATGATTGTGGATGGTTTTAAAACTTTCTGTGTTTTATTTTTATCATACACGACCTGCGGTTGCCTTGAACAACAATTCGTTTAACTTCAAACTCAATTCAAACCCTATACATTACAGACATCAATTATTTTCTATTGACGATCCGAAATAGATATTTCATTGTCAGTATTTCGCGTTTTAAAACATTTTCAGAGAGAATGATAGATTGGCTGACAAGTGCTAATTTAATAACAAAGAAGTTAAACTTTAACCTCTATTCAAACACCATTCGGACATCAATTTTTTTCTTGTGACTATTCAAAATAATATTTCACGCCCATGTTCAATGTGTTGTGTGAAAATTTTCATAGGTTTGCTTAGGTTAAAGTGAAGTCTATAAGAGAAATTAAAATTGACATTAGTTTGAACCTCTATGATTGAGTATATCTTACTTGTGTATCCAATATTTATCCAAGTATAGTTAGTAGTGTACTGTGTTACACAGTGGAGTGTCTAGCCTCTAAAATTGGAAGAGTAATATTTATATATGAATACTATTATGATTATATGAAAGAATGTTATATGCAATGCAGTGTTTGAAATTAAATGAAGATATGATCTTCGCACTTTGCTGGACAATTTAAGCAATTGTCTCATGAACCTGAAAAATTTAGGTGACTCAACGGGATTTGAACCCATGACCTCTGCGATGCCAGTATAGTTCTCTAACCAACTGAGCTGTGAAGCCACACAGTGGTGAGCAGGTCAATTTGTTGGGCTCATGTTTTCCCGTGAAAGGAATGTCGTATGAAAGAATGTTACTGTAAGAGCACTGTACCGGCACCGCAGAGGTCATGGGTTCGAATCCCGTTGAGTCACCTGAATTTTTCAGGTTCATGAGGCAATTGCTTAAATTGTCCAGAAAAGTGCGAAGATCATATCTTCATCTAATACTATGATTCATAGAAAATAATTGATTGCAAAGGAACTTAAAATATAACTGAGCACAAGAACATGAACATTTCATACTCCCCTACATTGAACTATCTATGTCACTGACGGAGACAATTAGTGAGAATGATATAGTGCTGAACTAGTTGAAGCTCTGAACACAAACATTACTTGATGTGGGATTTGAATAACACGAGTTTATTGTTTTATTCTTTCCATCTCCACAATGTTCGTACTGTGGAACACATTGCTTTTCTAACCGAGTGAATCGTCTTGATGCAAATGAGCAACCGTTCATAAAGCCATATTATTGCTATTATTATAAAATGTACGTTTCTCCACCATGTGTGATGCAGACTACGGCGAAATTATTTATTTTGGCGTTTTAGGCCCCGTTTACACTATACCGGGATTGCTATCGTTCGAATCCACTGATCTGATAATAGACTGGATTTAGCTTCTACAGGTAGCAAAAGTGAAGCCTAATTATATATGCAAAATGCACTTCCGGTTACCACAAGAAATAAATATTACTATACAAATGTATGGCGGATAACGTTTACAAACATGAATTTTCGAATATTTAAGACCTTTCGCGACTCCTTACTAACCTCAAGTATTAGTCATGGATAAAACAGGTTATGCGAATCGATTTGACATCAAAATGATTCCGATAGCTGTAAAATATCGACGTTAGTGTTGATTTAAAAGTTGTGCATGCGAGAATGTATTTTGTCCCATCGTTGCAAATGCAAGATAGTTCACTGCTCGCTTTCCAATTTCTGAGGCAGTTATGATCTAGTATACGTTTCAGTTCTTTAGAAATGAGGTGAGTTACTTTTTTTATCATTCTTTCTTTATGTTGAGAGATTGTTGACATTTTATTTTTGCTGTAACTTCATTTTTTCATGAGCAAAGTACTACTGATGCTTAAACAAGACAAGTCTCTTTAGTTTCTTTCGCACTTTATCTTTAGTTTCCATTTCTGTAGTTGTTTTTCTCAAATGGTATAGTCGCACTTTGCGCTTAATTATTCAAAGAAGTATGATTTTCATTGACATTAAAATCTAACAAATGCGTTCTACACACATTAGGACACTTTAGTAAACTGCTTTTGAAACATCAAGGTAATGTAGCCAGCCAGGTATGAATTTGCAGGCCCTCTTTATAATCATCTTGGTTTTGGTTTGTCCCTTAAGTTAATTTAAATTATCTACAGCAACATATGACTGTGTCCACGGTTTATAATTATAAGTGTGTCCAATTGTATCCAGTATATCAGTTTCACTTTGTCTTGTGCTAATTCCTTTACAGCCATGAATACTGCCTCTCAGCAACAGTTTATTGTCTACACAGCTGTAAATTGGTCAACTGTCGGATTATTAAAGTCACACTTCACAAGTGGAATAAAGCTCTTGTCTTTCTTATTACTACAAGACTCAAGAGTGATGATGAAACTGTTGCTGAAAAGGATTGTAATGTCAACTGCAATTCATATTCATACCATCCCTAACTACATTCATATCTTAAGAATAATTTTAATGTTTTTTGAAAAATATTTAAGGCATTAATATTACATTCATACTAACTTCTGGAGTTTGCTTAGCACTTAGAAGAGGAAAATAAAATTTAGAGCAAAAAATGAGATTTTAATTTATATTATTTCTGAGTATAAGAACATTATTTTTGAGATCAGTGTGAAAAAGGCACTGATCTGATAATAGATCAGATCAGATCAGTGGAAAAAGGGTGCGGAATTATAAACTGGCGCTGTTTTCATACACAAAGTTACTGCTTTCAACTGTGATTCTGAATTCTTTAAAAAATTAAAAAGTAACTGTGATTTATTCAAAAAATGGTTAGACTAGGGATGCGATGTTGTGCATTCGGCTGCAACAAAAGACATAAAAATAAAACAACTGAGTTAAATCGGAGTGATAGTGATGGCTCACCTGACTGTATCTGAATTTAAAAAGGCAGTAATATCTTACATGGCTGGCTATGTTGCCCAGATGGTGCAAAAGAAAATAAACTGTCCTGTTTGCCATGAAGCAGTCGGTTCAAGAAACTACAAAAATGAGTCTGCTTTCCTGACTTTAAAAGACAGGGGTAATTTGTTTAAGCCAACAGCAAGTGTTATAGTAATATGCAATGAAACAGAGAGGTGCTTTCAGAGAAAGTTGGCAGCTACAGATGGGAATTTACCGCAAGGGAAAGGAATTCCTGATGCTATTGCTTTGTCTGTAGTAAAAGGTATAGATTTGAGGACCACATTCAAGGATCTCGATGCACACATGTTGGATACTACTGTTCACGAAAATAATATTTACTCATTAATTAAGACCATATTTAAATGCTACAGCAAGGTGCGACTATACCATTTGGGAAAAACAACTACAGAAATGGAAACTAAAGATAAAGTGCGAAAGAAACTAAATAGACTTGTCTTTTTTTAAGCATCAGTAGTACTTTGCTCATGAAAAAATGAAGTTACAGCAAAAATAAAATGTCAACAATCTCTCAACATAAAGAAAGAATGATAAAAAAAGTAACTCACCTCATTTCTAAAGAATTGAAACGTATACTAGATCATAACTGCCTCAGAAATTGGAAAGCGAGCAGTGAACTATCTTGCATTGGCAACGATGGGACAAAATACATTCTCGCATGTACAACTTTTAAATCACCACTAACGTCGATATTTTACAGCTATCGGAATCATTTTGATGTCAAATCGATTCGCATAACCTGTTTTATCCATGACTAATACTTGAGGTTAGTAAGGAGTCGCGAAAGGTCTTAAATGTTCGAAAATCCTTGTATGTAAACGTTATCCGCCATACATTTCTATAGTAATTTGTATCTCGCCGTGGTAACCGGAAGTGAATTTTGCATATATAATTAGGCTTCACTTTTGCTACCTGTAGAAGCTATATCCAGTCTATTATCAGATCAGTGATGACTACCCATAAGATGGACTTTGTACATCACGCCATATACTTTCTACCGGATTTACGTAAATAAGCATATCAATTACAATATTATAAAATGACGTTCACCGTCACGGACAATCATTTGAAGCGATGGCAGCATTTGACGAAGACGCTCATTTTTTAAGAAGAACAGTTACAACTACAATCTCTGATAGAGGCGGCGATGCAAGACGAAGCATTTTCAACTAACGGCGGCGGTGACGACGTCGATGGAACATTACCGTTTCTTACACAAGACACTTTCAAGACGCCTGAGAAAGCGGTGTCGGTGCCGATAGAGATTCCAGATAAAGATGATATTTTAGAAGACCGTGGAAACTTCGCATGTTGGAACGGAATTCAATGTGTAAAGAATCCTGTATTCGTTCTTAATCGGCGGCGATTTTATATATTTTATTTGTTGTACCAAGTACATATTGTATATATTTATGTGTTGAATGAAAAGAAAATATCCAACATTTTACTTCTCAACCTTTTAAAAAAATTTTATGGTTCAAAGACATGTTTGTTCCTACATTGCTCTATTAGTCACAGTGTCTAAGAGTTTTCTGTGAATTGCAGAATTTAGACATTCGTATAGACAAGCACATTTAGACAAGCGATTGCCTTCTGTGTTTCATTCAGCCTTCAGACACGCGACTCAAGCGATTGCCTAGTGTGTTTCAGCCTTAACTGTTCAATCACGTTAGTTTGATTTCGATTTAAGTAAATAAAATAATAATGAACAAAATTAAATTATATAAACTCTTCAGAATCATTCAAGTTTTTAAACTTTCAAACATCAAATTTTTCATGCGCAATTTTTTGCATCATGGATCAGGGGCCTCCCCTATATTTACAACTATATGAATATTTCCATAATTTCGTAATGGCACGATTGAAATGAAGAATAAAGTAAAGTTATTTAAAATGCTGAATTTATCATAGGATGCTTGACACGTGTTGATTAGTAAAAGGAAAAGGTTGGATGAAATAGTGATATTTACACGGCAAATAAGTGTGACAGAGACAAAGTTGAATATTACACTCAATTTTCTCTAAAACTCAAAGAAGCCTTAGACACACGCAAACAGATCTTAACAAACAAATTCAACATTTTAATATAATTTTCTAATTTCCATAATTTTGTAATAGCACGATTGAAATTATACATTTAACGGAAACGACACCTATTTTTAAATTTTTTGTTGCAGACATGTTTCGGCAAACTTATGCCATCTTCAGTGCGGTATAATGAAAAATCTGACAAGTTTGAAATTGTGAATGCATTGATAGAAACACATTTATAGAAATAAATTTCAAGTAAGATAAATACAAATACATTCGAGTGATTCGAGGTTAGCGAATGTTGGAAGAATTGGCGACTTTCGTCGTCATAGATTGATGTACACCTAAATATTGCCAAGTTCACAAACCATTTACTGGTTAAAGTAAATAGTTTGAAAACGGAGTATCTTTACATGTTTATAGATGTAGATCGTCCAGGTTGGTATAGTCCCGAGATGCACTGTTTTTGTTGTACACGCACATTACACATCACTACTAAAAATGCTTCGCTTTGGCTTTATGCCATGTACGCCTTTCTGTCTTTTCTGCGATTGGCATTCGACTGGATGAATGTGATTGGTTAAGGGGAACAGTTTTGCTGAGTCTAGAAGTTTCTGCAAGGCAGTGATATATTTTCGTGAATCTTGCCCGTCGCCCAGGCAATATTCCCTTTGAATATGTCGAATAGATGCAACAACTCAAGCTTTTGAATAACGAAATTTTATTCCCTGGCAATGTTTATCAAAACGTATATCGCTCACTCACTCAGACTCTCTCTTCAACTCATTTACAACAAAACATCAATCAAAATTCTTTTAAGCCTATTGGTTAACGAAATTAAACAACTAAGGAGAATTTGTCTCTCTGTCAGTAGGACATTCAATTACATAACTTATTCCCAACACACTCCCCCTATACATCTGAAGATAAGATGTATATCTAAATGGATTACTGTTCTAGGAAGTGTTTCAAATCTCTTCGTTTTCTTCGTCAGCAATCGATTTGATGATCCCCGCTGCATTTTCAGCTGCCTTACGCTTTGGCTTGAATGGTTGAGCGTCTGGATTAAGATCAGGTCTCTCTTCATGGCTCTGTCGATCACAAGCTAATTCCATTGGGTAAAGCAATTGAACTGGTCGTTCTAGGTTTCCATTTGGCGTTTTCAACATTACCCCACGTATCACTCCATCTCTTCCTGGATATGTCTCTATAACGATCCCAAGAGGCCATTTCCCTATTCTTTTCGTTGGATTTGATCAGCACGACGTCTCCTACGTTTACAATGAACTTTTAGTCCCATGACTCATGTTATGTCGTTCTCGCAGTGCAGTGAGGTATTCTTTCGACCATCTTTTCCACAAGGCTTGTTTGCAAGATTTCAAGTATCTTGCCCTCTTACGTAAGTCCGGATCACTTTCGACCCATAATTTCTGTTCTGGCAGATGATTGGATCTCTGGAATAAAAAGAGCTCGGGTGTCAACACCGGCAGTTGAACATCGTCTTCAACATAACTGAGCGGTCTTCTATTGATTTGCACTTCAACGTCAAGTATCACTTCACACAGTTCTTCCCACTTCAGATTTGCGCCTCCAATTGTCTTATACATCGCTTGTTTGACAATTCCTATCAGCCGCTCGAACTGCCCTCCCACCATGGTGCTCGGGACAAGTTAAACTGCCATTTAATGTCGAATTCCTCCAAATAACCTTGAAGACGTTCCTCCTTTCGTAAAGTATCAATCCACTTCGCAGTTTTATGAAGGTGCCCCATTGTCTGAATAGATCTTCCTGGGTCTTCCCTCCGAGCAATGAACCGTTTCAAACTTGGTATGAACGTGGAAGCAGATAGGTCCGGCATCATGTCCAAGTACACTGCTCGAGTTAGACTACATGAAAACAGCGCCAGATACGCTTTGCAATCCTTGCTTGACTTCCCTTTGTAACGTATTGGTCCCGCGAAATCTACGCCAATCACCTCGAACGCTGTTTCGCCACAAGTCCGGTCCTCGGGTAACTTTCCAGGAGGGTGTGGGAACTGATGTCGCTCGATATCTTTTACAACCAAAACACTCCTTTCTAACTTTCTTTACAAGGCTTCTTAACTTCGGTATCCAATACGTCTCTCTTACAGCAGCCATTGTCAATCCAACACCTCCATGTAACGTTTCACGATGCAACTTTTCCACTACTCTTTGAGCTAGCAAGGAATCTGTGGGAAGGTAGATAGGATACTGACCCACAATTCGGCCACGACATTCTAAAATCCCTTCTGTATTGCGCGTAAGATTAAGTTCTTTGCATTGTTGCTCGTACTTTGGTTGTAATTGACCTTGCTTTTGGGCTTGTTTGACAAATTTCATCTTAGCCTCTTCAATCTCGGTAAAGGATAATGGTCCTGTTCTCTTTTCCCCTTGTGTACAATTGTTTACGAACCTGAAGAGCCATGACGACACTCTTAGAGCTCGTTTAAGTGAGCATTTTCTTAATAACTGTTCCAGAACATCACCACTGTACTGTTTTGTTGTCATTGCGATACTTTTTTGGGAGACTGTCGCTTCTGCTTCTGTTGCAGTAGTTGGAGTTGTGGTTATATTAGTTGGCCATCTGCTCATATCAGATAACCATTCTGGACCGTAGAGCCACGTCTGATTTAATTTCCCACCCTGCTGGCCAAATCTGCAGGATTTTCGGATGTGGGTACATATCGCCATTTTATTTCAGGATGTTGGTGTATCTTACGGACACGGTTTGAGACAAACTGCTTATACTGGCCCCGTCCAAGTATCCAATGCAAGGCGACAGTGCTGTCTAGCCATGCAAAACTTTGCGGCCGTGACAAATGATCCAAAGCGTTTCGCACATTCACAAGAAGGTTCGCTGCCATGTGGGCTGACACAAGTTCTAGCCGTGGAACAGTTAGGTCCTCTTTTGCCAGACGACTTTTACCAGCAACTAGAATTTGAGTAGTTCCCGATTCTTGATGAATAACTGAGTACACTGCAGCTCCTACACCTTGTGTGCTAGCATCCCCGAATGCGTGCAGCTCTAAAGACTTGATTGGTTCTCGGAACCCAGCTAATGATCGCGGAACACTTACTTCACACGGAAGATTGCTCTCCCAGCAGTCCCATCGATACTTCAAAGAATGGCTTAGCCGTACATCCCACAAGAGCTTCTCCTTACAGATATCACGATAAATTATCTTTCCCTCTAGAATTAAGGGTGATGTAATTCCCAAAGGGTCATAAACCTGAGCCAATCTACTCAGTACTTCACGTTTCGTTTTTGCCGATTTCTCTGATGGGATCACTATGGAAATCTCGTCACTTTTCTTTTCCATAACAGTCCCAGCACTTTAGATTCTCCAGATTTAGTTCCAAGTTGTTGTTTTGCTAAAGTTTCTTCTTCATCATCCTTTTCTTCTTCATCTGCTTCAAGCTCATGGGCATTTGAGTTCCACTTATGTAAATTGAAATTGGCGTCGTTGAATACATCGATTGATTTCCTTTTCCTTTCCTTGGCTTTGTCTACTGTTTGTCCCCCACTAAGCAGATCGTCGACATACATAGATTTCTTCAGTTCCTCAACGATATCTGGCATCTTTGTTTTCCAAGTTTCTAGGTGATGCTCTAGCACTCCCCCAAGCAGAAATGGGGAGCAAGTTAGGCCGAAGACGACTCTTGTGAATCTATATGTCAAGGGTTCAGGTTGACTGTCACTCTTCCAGTGAAACCGTAAGGCATCTCTTTCTTGTTCTTTTATTCGGATCTGGAGGAATGCCTTTTCTATATCGCCACAAAGTGCAACTGGAAATGAACGATGATGAACCAATACGCTCCAAAGCTTATTCTGTAACGGCGGGCCTGGGTAAAGGCAATCATTCAAGGATGGAGCACTTGGAGTCGCTCGAGCGGATGCATCGTAAACTACACGGATTTTCGTTGTTTGTGCAGCTTCACGTATCACGGGTTTATGAGGTAAGTAGAACTCCCTACCCACTGGGGGCTCGGTTACAAGTTCAACTACCCTTTGCTGACTTGTTCCTCAATAATCCTGTTATACTCACTGGCCATTCCTTCCCTGTCTAATCTCTTTACAAGACTGTTGAGGCGTCGCAAACTTCCTTCTTTGTAAGATGGTAAGGGAGGATGGTTACCTCGCCACAGTAGACCAGACTCGTACCAACCTTCTGAACTCCTGACCAATTGCTCCTTAAACTCTCCATACACTGAGGTTTGATCGTGTTCTGAGGTGTCGGCAAGTCCTAAAACATCCAACCGGCACAACTTCTCATAATCCTTTTGAGTGGTTTGTGTTAGTAACATATGATTGTGATCAAATTCTTTTCCAGGGGACATCACGAACCATCCCAGCTTGGTCAACTCCGCGATAGGTTCGCCATCTTTACCTATTCGGGACGATTCTTTGTTTTATTCTGGCATACTCCCTCCCCAAGAACTACATGTACTGGAAGCTGAGCCTTCGTGTCACCATCTTGGATATCAACCCCTTTTAAGTGTGAGTATTTGGAAATCATATGGCTGTATTGGGGGTTTTTTACTGATAAAAGTTCACTTTTTTCCACTTTAATTAAATCTACTTCCATACCAAACTCTCCATCGAGGGACTCCACTTTAGTTGCATAGGTCTCCAGACGTTCTACACTACTACTCAGGAGCATGTCCACTTGTTTTGTTGTTATGTCAGCAGGTTTCATGCCAAGGACACTTACCAACTTTGCAGATGCATACGAGCTGCCAGCCCCAGAATCAACTAACGCTCTGCACATGATCCCATTAACCTTTACAGTCAAGATTGGGAAGACTCCTTCGTTGGTTTTTGTTGCAGTCATCAGGGTTTTCTTCCCCATTGCTTGTTCACACAAAGAAGTATGATGCCTTCTCGCAATGTTGACAGGTTATTTTACTTGTACAATCGGCTGCTCTATGCCCTTCTCGGTACAGTTGAAGCAGCGGCTTTTTGCCAATATTTGTTTCCTTTCGTTGATATCCGTCACCTTTGAGCAGTCAACTGATTTATGATCGTTTGCATCGCAATATACACATTTTCGCTGACCGAATTTGGTGTTGAATACTCTTTCACGGGACTGTTTCTATTTTCCTTCCTTTCTCCTTCACATATAGGGTTTCTAGGGTTTCGCCTAGTCCATAATGTTAAGGCTTCTATTAGCTTAATGTAATCCCATTCATCCCAGTTGGGATCGGTACGAACCAAGTCGCTTCTTATACCAGACAATTTGTCCAATGTCATTGCAACACTTCCATTGATCTGCTCCAGTTTTCCCATAGTTTCTAAAGACTGCAATAGGTGAGTCTTTCGCAGAATTTATGCACCTTCTGTACATTGGCATCTGGTATGTTGGGTAAGTCAAGAATTTCTTTGGTGTAGGCTTTAATCACTTCTGACTCCTTTCCATACTTTGACTGAAGTATACTTTTGCTCGGTTATACCCTTCACTAGTGAAAGGTAGTGCTTCTATGGAATACTTGACATGTTTTTCAAGCAACTCTCTCAAGTATGAAAATTTTGTTACATTGGAAATATTTGATTTGTCAATAGTCTCGCTGAACTGGTTCCAGAATCTTGGCCAATCTTTGTAGCTTCCGTTAAATTTTGAAATCACTAGCTTTGGTAGTTTAGCTTCCAGATTGCCACTAATTGTAGAATTCATTTCTCCTGTCTCTTCTGGTTTGTCCCTCTTGGACTCTTCCAATTGAGTCTTGTAGTGCAGCTTGGTTTCATACAACTCTTTCTCGAAATTCAACTGATCCTTTCTTAAATGTGCTTTCTTACTTTCATTCACTTCCATAAGCCACTTGCGTAATTGTTCTATTGCATTGTCAGCTTGACCGATGGTATTTTCTATCGATTCCTCCCACTCGGAAATGCTTTCGACTTTTCGCCGCTAGCTATTTTCAACCCTTCGACTGTACGTTTGGCGGTATCTGCTTCTTTTACTAATTCATTTAACGCATCACGATGTCTTTCGATTCTCCCGTGATTATCTGACGCAAGAATTCTCTCAGTTTTCCCGCAAGTGATCGTAATATGCTTGAGTTTTGCTTCAAGTGCTAGCTCCGCAGCTTCCTGCTTCGACATGTTTCAATACGAATTCTTGTTCTTGATCGAACTATTTTCACTTATCCCGTCGGAGGTGCCACGTTTCGTGAATCTTGCCCGTCGCCCAGGCAATATTCCCTTTGAATATGTCGAATAGATGCAACAACTCAAGCTTTTGAATAACGAAATTTTATTCCCTGGCAATGTTTATCAAAACGTATATCGCTCACTCACTCAGACTCTCTCTTCAACTCATTTACAACAAAACATCAATCAAAATTCTTTTAAGCCTATTGGTTAACGAAATTAAACAACTAAGGAGAATTTGTCTCTCTGTCAGTAGGACATTCAATTACATAACTTATTCCCAACAATATAAGGACGTCCTTTGGATTACACTAAAGTAAGTGGTAGCTGGCTTGAGACGGAGCATCTCCTCGTCGAAAGCAACATTTGTTGGTAAAGTTTGCGAGTCGCATTAGCATATAAAAAATAAAGATATGAACAAAAATGATAAAAATTCCAATTCTGAATCAAATGAGGATGAGAATAGAAATGAAGACGAACATCACGAAGGACTGGAGCATGAGCAACGTGACGAAAACAATTCCCGCGAAGAAAACGTTCTGCAGGAGAATCTTGTAGAAGATCAAGTAAGGATGAAATCAGAAGTTGACAATTATGCTGAACTTTTTAATATCTTGCTTGAGGTTTTATATTTGGACTTTAGTGTTGAAATATGTGATTTAAATCTACCATCAATTCCTGATGAACTGTAAGTTTGAGTATGTATATGTAGAAATATTTATAGAAATGCAGAAATGCACAAACTATGGAGTTAAAATTTGTTAAAATAACTATTTAGATAGAATGGACTCTATCACGTCTGTAAAACGTATAAATTTGTGTATGTGCTAATTTTATAAATAATCTTTTTTCATTTTTGTTCTCACATTCGTGGAGATTTGAGTTTTGATACATACTAGACAACGCCTGTAACACCGTCAGGTGATCTAAAGTTAAGCTGATCATTGGCTGAAATTGAAATGCTGATCATTGCTGAAATTGAAATGCTGATCATTGGCTGATTTTTATGACGTACAATCGTAGAAAGGGCTTTGTTATTTCGATAATGACTTCACGATAACGTTGCTACAATGGATTAAAACATGCAAAACAACATATGATATTATTTTTCATTTTATTCGGCGTACTTTGTGAATTTTTACTCGGTTCTTTATTACATGGCAATGTTCAGTCGTCCATAGATCCAACACCAAGGAATAAGCAATGTACGTGTCGTTTCTTGGTGAGATTTGGGTGAGAGCTTTAAGACTTTTGGTTCTTCCTTTGATTGTATCTAGCTTGCTTTTGGTAGTCGCTGAATTGGAGTCAAAACGGAGCGGATAATTGGGAAGAAGAACATTGCTGTATTATCGAAATTATTTATTGTGGCGTTTTAGGCCCCGTTTACGCACTATACCTGATTGTTATTGTAGCAGTTTGAATATTCTTTGTATTAAAAGGCAATGATATTGTTCAATGTCAGAAACACAATCAAATAGACTACTTAGGTCTAACACCAATAAGATTAAAGCATATACACATGCATTACCCTCTAAGAAGGTAACCTGTAACCTTGGATGATAATCATTGTGGAAAGCTAAAAGCGTGTAAAACTGGAGACTTCTGTGTGAACAACTCCAATACCAAGCTGTAGTGTTTAAGGAAAAATTTATGGAAAGATGCGTTGCTATCCTTCGAAAAGTGAAGTTGCGCACGATTTAACCCTGAGTTCTTAAAACTGACAAGATTTAGGTCTAAAACAGGCTTCTCCTATGTTGGTACATAAGTGCAAAGGTGACAGTTTAGGTTTGCTTCCAAAATTTTCGATAGAATTCTTCATTTAAAACTTACATTTTACTTGGACTTTATTAAGAGTCTCGCCTTTTTGCCACCTTTCAAGATGCGCTACTAAAGCGATTGTCTAGTGTGTTTCATTCAGCCTTCAGACACGCTACTAAAGCGATTGTCTTCTGTGTTTCATTCAGCCTTCAGACGCGCTACTAAAGCGATTGTCTTCTGTGTTTCATTCAGCCTTCAAACGCGCTACTAAAGCGATTGTCTTCTGTGTTTCATTCAGCCTTCAGACGCGCTACTAAAGCGATGTCTAGTGTGTTTCATTCAGCCTTCAGACGCGCTACTAAAGCGATTGTCTTCTGTGTTTCATTCAGCCTTCAGACGCGCTACTAAAGCGAT